AGCACATAGTAGGCTCTCAAATAATATTTCATTAATGACTTCCAATGTATTTTTCAGTCTCGTATGCCAGACTTGAAATTTGTTACTGTAATTATCATTTGAACTAAGCTCATTTTGAATCTTTTCCCTCTAAATTTTAATGTGAAGCAGGTTACAGATGAATGAGGGTGGCCAAAAAAAAAAAATCACTTTAACTTGGCTTGATTCCTTAATACATTAACAGGTAGATAATGAAGACATCTATGAATCTAAACACGAAATAAAGCTGCCGGTGAAGTGGACTGCGCCTGAAGCTATTCGTGCTAATAAATTCAGCATTAAGTCCGATGTGTGGTCATTTGGAATCCTTCTTTATGAAATCATTACTTATGGCAAAATACCTTATAGTGGTGAGTAATTAATTCTGAAGTGGGCCTTTCTGCTGCAGGTCACTTACTTAGGTGTGACTTTAACTGCTTTGCCCAGGCTTAGAGGGCAGAGTTATGAGGCTGACCACACCAAGGGCCTGTGGGAGCGTAATAGATAAAATTTGATGATGATGATTTGCATTAATGAGGTGGTTTATTGCCTCTTTATCCTTTGCTCTTGAATTGCAGTCTTATAGACATTAGTTGCTGTAGGATTTAGTTTAGTCTTTGTAGCCTGGGAAGGGGATGGTAGTCTTCAAGCTTCGCTAGGGAAATCAGTTTGCTTTGTCCTTTAGAATATCTATGAATTTAAGACTCTGATCTTCAATTTGTTTTTTGTTGGTTCCATTCTATATTTTTTAGGTATGACAGGTACTCAGGTAATTCAGATGTTGGGTCAAAACTATAGACTTCCTCAACCACCTAACTGTCCACTGCAATTCTACAAGATCATGTTGGAGTGCTGGAATGCAGAGCCTAGGGAACGGCCAACATTTGAGACACTGTGTTGGAAACTTGAAGATTATTTTGAAACAGGCTCTTCATGTTCATATTCAGATAACTTTGATGAGCACTGAAGAATAACATCAAATAATAAAGTGGCAATAAATTTCAATGATTAGTTCAGAAATACAATCTTATTAACCAACTGCAAAAATGAGTTTATCTTGACATATTCAAGTGATAGGGTAAATCTGGACATGTATTGTGAAAAAGATTATTTGTGCATTTTATCAACTGGGCAATATTGCAGGATAGTCTAAGATGATATGTTATTTCCTCACTGCCTGGCAAAGTCAAATGCACTAAACACAATTATTTTTCTTTTTAAAAGCTACTTACATTTCTATTTATTGTCTGAAATGCCGATCAAGTGTATTAACAGATGATAGTCAATTTTTACTCAGTGACTGTTGTAGCATTTTCCTGTTTACTGATTAAAGTGGTTATTCATTATTCCTCAGATTGCTGAATCCCATCAGGCTGTTATTATGAAGGAATTTGATTGCTTTGCTGCACAGCAGGACCTGTGCTTTGAGATTTTTTTTTCTCTTTTAAAATATCCTGTAACTACAATGATGGCAAAGCCATGTTAAATGACTTGATTGTACTTGGAGTAATTGCACATATTTTTTCCCTATGCATAAAAAAATGAGGCAGCTGTTGAGAAAAAGAATTAAAATCTCTCTTATTCTGTATAAGGAAATGATGGAATTTTTCTGTACCTCAGTATGTGTCATCTGAGATTCATCTACATTAGTTTTAATCTCTCAATGCTAAGAATCAGATTGCAAGGCTGCTGAGTTATTATCTATGGAAATATGCAAGAAACGTCTAATAGCCTGCAAGATCTGAGAAATAAGTATCAAAATAGTTTAGGAAAATATAAGGAGAGCAGTAGGATTGCTATGACGTAGGATTCCTGAATAATTTAAAAAAATGTAATAGGCCAGACTTCAAATTGACTACAAAACAGGTCAAGCTTGATTTTAGGTCTAGAGAGTAGGCATAATGTCTGATCTTGGTGATGAAACTGTATTTTCTGTGTAGCAGGACAAGAGGGTTTTTACTCTTCTTAAATTTTCATTAACCTTTGAAAGAATGTTACTGTTTTCTTAAGCAATGGGTATATCAAATTCTGTGCCTCATTAGATGACTAGGGAGAGTTCTCCAAGGTGATTTCAAAATTAAATATGTATTCAAAGACCTTGTGATGTAAAGCAATATGAATGAAGCAATTAATAGGAAAACAGAATATTTTGAGTATATTCCCTCATCTTTCTTTAAAGGGGAAGAAGAGCATTTCTAAACAGTTACAGAAACCCCAATTCAAAATCAAGATTTGCAGATACTAACTAATATATATAAAATAGATAAACAACAAGTTTATACTGTATAGCACAGGGAACTATATTCAATATCTTATAGTAACTTATGGTGAAAAAGAATATGAAAATGAATCTATGTATGTTCATGTATGACTGAAGCATTACGCTGTACACCAGAAATTGACACAACATTTTAAACTGACTATACTTCAATTAAAAAAAAATTTATATATACAAAAACCCCAAAACAAAACAAAATAGATTAAGCACTAAGTAAATCTGTAAACTCTCTAACTGGAAGACAGAAGTTGTTAAAAAGGAGACAACAGGCCCAAAATGGAGTCACTTGTGCTAGGCCCCATGTCAGCAAACTGGGACTTAATACTTAACTTAATACTTGTTTCAGCCTCTCTCAGGAATGTAGCCTTTAACCAGTCAACCTGGAATTATCTGGCCAGTGCCAGATAGGAAGGTAATCCACCCAACAGACATCTCCCATCCCACTTAGGACGGTGACCTTGTCTACAAAACAATGTATTCTTTGCTAATAACTTCCTGTTTCCACTCCCTTTCTGCTTTAAAAAAACTTTTCCTTTTTACAGCTTGTTCAAGCTGTGTTTTTTTTTTTGTTAAGTGGGATGTAGCCCAACTCATGAATCGTTGACTAAGGCCAATTTGATCTTTACTCCGTTGAATTTTTATTATTTAACAAGGTAGAGAGGGCTCCAGGTGCAATACCATTAGCAATTCAATGACGTTAGCAAAGCTTAAGTCCTTTCTCACCCTTCCCACTGCCATCAGCATTTTCCTCATTCCTGTGGTCCCAGATTGCCAGCAGTAGCAACTGGGGTTCCATCTTCTCTTTCTCCAGCAGGACAAAATGGGAAACCTCTCTATTTGCATTTTCGGCTTGCATAAAAATCATTCTTTTTTTTGTTCAAACTGGGGTCATATGCCTAGCCCTGGACCAATA